CAGAAGAGGATATTCTCATTCGAAGAAGAAAGCTCTAGATGGCATTAAGTGCAGGAACTGTTTTGGAAGAGACTGTGGACCTGTCGTCTTGACAGATTACTGATGAATGAATGAATGAATGAATGAATCTATCTAATATGCTCTCTAAGACAGAAATCTCAACTTTCTGTTACATGATATATGATATATATATATATATATATATATGATAAGAAATGTAAAACCAGTGGTGTCTGTAAAAACATTAAAAAGTGTTTATTATTCATACTTCCATTCTGTTATGACAGATGGAGTAATGTTTTGGGGTAACTCAACACATGAAGAAAGAGTTTTTAAGATACAAAAGAGAGTTATAAGAATAATAAAAGGATGTGGCTACAGAGAGTGATGCAGAGAACTGTTTAGGAATATGAATATATTCCCTTTAAGAACACAGTATATGTACTCTCTTCTGATGTTTGTAGTAAAAAAATAGATAAATATTTGATACAAATAGGGATGGCTATGATATAAACACTAGACATAATATGGATATACATATGAGCCAGGTAAATTTGGGGAAATGTGGTTATGGGGTAACTCTCATGGCCGTAAGGATTTACAATGCACTACCTAATAATAAAGTTAAAGTAACTTCTAACGATATAAATAAGTTTAAAAACAATTTAAAGGAATTTCTTTATTTAAATTATTTTTATGCACTTGATGAATATTTTAAGAGATAATGATTTTTACAACTATATAAGTGTATAAGATGTTGAGTAATACAATAAATTAATAATCATCTTGAATATGAGATAATCATACTTATAATTGAATGTTTTTATAAGTTGGATTTGTTGTATATGTTAAACCTATATGATTAAAAAATTCTGTTACTTTGATGGAAGCTTTGATCTTAAAATTTTATTTTAAATGACAATTTTAGTGTATTGTACTAGAAAGTAGTTGTATGTGATGTGACAAACTTTGTCATATACTATAGGTCTTTTTAACAATTGCTTGATAGCACTGACAAGATAAAATAACTGTTTGGATGAAATGGCTTGCCAGTATGTGTGGAGTGGCAGGTCGTGGGTTTGACAGTGGTTTTCCCGCCACCTGTGTGTGTTGTCCTGACAGCTTGGGCTGTCTGTGTGAGGCCTGATTATGTTTTATTGGACTGGGGACGAGTGATGGATGGTCATCATGAAATTGTAATTTTGTATTTTTATAAATGTAATGTTTTTATATCTTGGATTTGTTATATATGTTTAAGCTATATGACCAAAATATTCCGTTACTTTTGATGTAAACTTTTATCTTAAATTTTAATGTATTATGCTAGAGGGAAATTGTATTATGATGTAAACATACATTGTCTTATTTTATAAGTCTTCTTGACAATTGCTTAAGAGTATTAGCAAGATTAATTGACACAATTCTGTATCTAAGGCTTTTGCCTACTACAGATGTAATGGAATAAGAAATAATAATAATAATTTCTCATGATCATCAATCACTGTATGGAAAATTAAATATCCTATTTTCTTTCATGCAGATTCACTGCAACTGAATATAAATAAAGCAATATGTAACAATTCTTTTTTCATTTCTGTATATGGCCGATATACGAGTATAACACTGTGAAGAGCTGCCACAGTGTATATATATCAAGAGTTTATGTTGTACTGGCAATATGCAAGTATTCATAACTGCTTGAAAACTATTCTTATGCTGTCACAGGCATGGCCTATAATGTGTACCAATTCCACAAGAGAATACGTTTCGATAAGGAGGCAAAGTTTCTACGGAACCTGTGAAGCGTGATAACCGCTAGGACGACGAAGATTATCAGCCAAGCTGTCTCAGCAAATTTTACATGAACGTTGGATTTTATGTCTTGGTCACCTGCTGAATGGTGATGAAAACTAAAAAAATAAATGATTCTGCTGATAAACGTTACATTTTCCTCACGAATTCAAGGCTTCCGACTGACTGAAATTTCCATGACTGTTGAGAAGTACTAGCCTTTGGCACGTTCTGGAGATATACTACCATACAATACACTTTCATCTTACTCCTGAATATATCTTTAAAACTTACTTTCTTGTACTGAATTCATTCTTTTGAGATACACAATCAGCAATTAAACACGGCACTAAACATATAACCTCTTTCCACCATTCTTAATTAACACAGTGGTGACGTTTCTTTACGTTAACGAAATTTCCTGATCAACAATAACATTATTTTAATTATGATTTAGATGTATAAAATATCCGATTTTTAATAACTTACATACATGTTCATCTCGAAAGAATACATTTTGGAACCAAGATTCAGCAAAATTTTTGCATAAAATAGGCCTGAGATCGAAAACAGAAAATTCATTTACCTGGAAAACATGGTCATGTGCGCATTCTGTGACCACTGACGGCGGGTATTTGAAACTTAACCTAACGCGTACTGTTGTGGTCCCATACATAATCTATGACAAGCATGACGAGTCTCCCATGACTTTCGAAGGATTATGGTAGGGAGACAAGAATCTTAATTCGGTCCACTTTATTTTTTTTTAATGCTAGTGGGGTGGGTCTAAGTCCCTTGTACTGCGGCCACTTCTGGCCTATTGTACCAGCCCAAGATGATAGGCGAGGGTGATTGTGGAGCAATTGGTGGAATTAAGATTGGCAGGGGAAACCGAAGTACTCACAGAAAACCTGTCCTAGCGCTACTTTCTCCACCACAAATCCTGGTTGACCAGAGCCGGGATCGAACCCGGGCCACTGTGGTGGGAAGCCAGCGACTAACTGCTTGAGCTATGGCGCAGCCCAATTCGGTCCACTTGGTTTGTCTCAAAAATGAAACCATGTCCATAACCTGAGGTCAATAACGTTGGGTACTCCTTTAGTGTACCATTAACATTCCAACTTGGAACTTTCGATTAATGAAATTTAGGAGCTAATTTTTATGAATGCAACTAACAAATACAGCATGGTGCAGGGAGTAAAAAGAGAGGAAAAGTGGCTTTCTACCTGCTTCAGGCTAGTTTCTTGCTTGGCTCACTCAACCCTTAAAATGGATGTGATATATTCCTCTGAAATGTCAGCTGACTGGACTACATGATGTTATACCCCACAACATAGAACTCTTCAAAACCACTGCTGTGAAAATGTCACATTCTACAAGTGGCTTAGGAATATGTTAGTTCAAATACATCAGTGGTGTTCAATCTTACATAACCCATTTGTTCACAGGAACGGAGCTGACAGAAACAATAACTGATTGAGCTCAATGGTATTCCATATTTAAAATTGAGTTTATCTTCAATGATGCAGCTGAAACAGCTCTTTATTTCTCTTCTAAACAGAAGGAACTTGTTTCACAAATAATTTTACAAAATATGGCACACTGTAAAAGTACTCTAAAATAAAACAGACACTCATATACAATCACTACACAGAAATTTAACTCAACTACCTGACAAGGGGCCATGCCATAAAATGAATATTTCTACCCCTTGTCCATGCAACTCAATGTCTTGTTCTTTCAATCTTTGTTTCACTGCTGTTTCCATCCCCCACCTGAAGTCAGTTAATCTATTTCTAGAGCTGGAGCAACAGCAAAAAGGGCCAGATATAAAACTGATGAAAACATCAAAACATCAGTGACACAATGATTAAAGAAATGGGAAAACCTCTTTACAAATAAAAGACAGAATAATTCATCCCATCGTTAAGTATCTCAGTCTCCATTGAGACTATGAAGAGAGGTAATTTACAAGTTACATAATAATGTTGCACAAGTATTAACCTCTCTGAAAATACTTGCTTCTTTTATAGCATACATACATAGATACATTCCTCAGATCCAGAATATGGTATGAAACAGCAGGTATTGCAATAAGTCATAACATGTATAAAGATATAGTACATACACCGAATGCAAAAATATCATGATTATAAGACAACTGTATAAAATAGAGGCCTTATTGTAGATTAAAACCATATATAACATCATTCGTTCATCAACACACTAAAATGAGAGTGTATTTCAATTGTGCCTTTCCATTTACAGTGCCAATGATATATGGGAGCCTGAACAGCTTAGTCAGTATAGTGGCTAGGCAATGGACAGCTGAGGAATCGGGGTTTGAGTCTCAGCAGGGAAAAGAGATTTTTCTCTTCTCCAGAACATCTAGACCAGCTCTGGGGCCCACCCAGCCTCCTGTACAATCTCCCCAGAGGTGAAGTATTCATAGCATGAAGCTGAGGTCAAATACTTTGCTCCCTCCTACACCTTCCTGGTATGGTGCTTAATTAGTTAAAGCTCAGGGGTAGCTTCACCTCTACCTAAGCCGACAATACAGTAAGATAAATTATTCAAGATTCTGATAAGAGCACAAAATGTCCTCTTCTAGAAGCAAGTAAGGTTGGAAACTGGTTATGAAGATGGTTCTTGCATCCTGTATTAACACTGTTTATAGATTAATTTGAATATGCTCCTGGTTATTCAAGATAAAATTCACTAAAGAAGATACTCTCATGTGTATGAGTAATTAGAAATGGTGTGTAGATTGGTGAATGTATTTATTGATCACTTACAGGTCGTAACCACAAACAACTATAACACTATCACTATATCCACATTTTACAGCTCAACAGAGCACACAGTCTAGTGTTCTCAGTCTGTTACTAGACGTTCCCTGGTAATGGCTCCAACAACGGCTATTCCTCTGCCTCTGGCTCAAATCCTCCTTCACAGACTCTGGTATAGAACTGACCCTCAACTGACTAAGCTCCAAACCTCCCAGTTATAACATTTCAGCACAGACTACATAGGAAACACAGTTCTTCTACTGTTGCGTGTTACCTAGCAACAGCCACTGTTTACAGAGTCATTGCCTAGCAATGGGTCTATACACCACAATATACACAGTATTTGTATACGTGAGGAGAATCTCTAATGTCTTGAATATACTTTGACGTGAAATTTCAGATTTGGCACCAATCACAATTCTAATATTCTCTTTCACTCTTCTGGTTCTAGGTAGGGACCAGTGATGTGCTCTAGTGAACATGATAATGAACCTTCGGGTTCAAGGAAATGCTGAGAATTGTTCAAGTGGCTGAGCAACTGCTGGCTTCTCTATAAGGAATCAGCTCTATGTAGCTAGTTAGTTAGTTACTTAATTAGTAAGTAAGTCAGTCAGACTATGCATTTTTCATCCCACATTCTCATAGCCCTTGATTTGATCTCCCTAACAATATTCAATGCTCTCTGCATTATCATCCGAAAATAAAAACATATTTCATACACATGCATATATATTAGGCAGTTTTATTGCTTTCAATCTGCCAGTGACTTTTTGTGGCTGTATATGGTCTTCACAGTTCAATTCCTTATGTCACCATGCTTTCTCCCTTTAACATTACATTGTATTCTGAGGTAGGAATACCACATCAACAGGCCAAACATGGTGATTCCTCCTGTTAAACAGTGTTCCCAGTAAATAAAGAAAATTTAATGAATCTGGCTTCATATTTCACAAAACAGAGCTGCGATGTCCATCGCCAAACGACGGAGACCCACATCTTCGAGGTTCATTATAATAGCAACAGTGACCCCACATGGAACACAGACGTCACTACTCTGGGGAACCACAGACTCAAGAGAAGAAAACACTGACAGAGAGTTCGGAACTGAGGGTGTGTGGTGTGCCAATTCACTGTCCAAAGGTATGGCAGTGGGATAAGATACTTTATTTGGAACCACCAACAGAACGCTAGAAGCACCAACAGCACCACCGGTGTGCCCCACAGCAAATGCCTGAACATCACCACCTCCATATTCTTGGCGTGACGGAACAACCACCCAGCCCATACCATAACCGTCACCACGTCCCCAATTCCTCGTTGTTCCTGGCTGCACACTCCACATAGCCTGCAATGACTCAGGTAATCAGGAGGGTACGACTTGTTCTTCAACAGAATGGAATGGAATTTTCAGACATGTTTTATAAAGTCACACATTCAAATCGACATTTCATTACAGTACAGCCCCCAAAAATTCCTCAAGCAGTTAAGACATCAACTTCTCATCACAGACACATAGGTGCAAAAGCAGGGCAGACCACATGATTTACAAAATGTGCGGCTTATGTTTAGGCAATATTTTGCAGACTGCAAACCAACATGAGTGCTATGCACCACAGCAGCTGAGCACACAGAATTTGGCATGAGCATAGATTATAAACCTACCTACAAATCATTACTGCACTCTGGAATGTGACACCGTTCAGCCTGGTTCACACAATTTTGGAGGAATATACTGCCTCCATCTTCAGGGTTGATAAATAAGCCAAGCAAAGAGATGGTATGGCTACAGGGAAGACAGATCCAGAAACAGAGTCCTAAGCAGACCAACAGGCATAAGGGAAGTAGTGTGAGCGAGTGGCCATTACTGAACACACTGACTTTAAACAAGGAACATTATGGAGGGCTTGATCAAAAAGTGAGGGAAAAATAGTGGCTAAAGTGAGTCAGTGATGGAAAGGAACCCAGGGCTATGCTTCTCGTTCCATCTTCCCTACCTCCGTATTAGATCTTCCTCTGGGCTCTCTCTTCAAAACCTGTTCCTCCAAAAGACTGATACAATTCTACCAGATCATATAGCATCATATCACAAAAGACACTAATCTTCATTGGCACTCCTGTGGCAACCTCGAATCACATACCCTTACAAAATAGTCATGAAACATTTTTACATCAAAAATTGAAAACACAGTGACTGAGTAGAACTGTGACATCATGCCTAATAACTTCCCAATACTGGAAATGTGTGTAAATGAAAACTACACATATAAATAGATCATTACGTCGTTAAATATTACTTATTTTTAACATCTGATAGGCTATACTGAGAGATGAAAGAATTCAAGGTAAAGAAAATTAAGAACTGAAAACAAAACGCATCATGTTAGACTGTGGATCCTCTGCACTGAGACACCCTGTTGTCTTGTACACATATACCAACATTTCTGAGGAACATGCTGCCTCCATCTTCAGGGTTGAAGCGTGTATGGTGGGGAAACGGATGGATAACATATACAAGGAAGGTATTCCCTCAGATATATGGGGAGAGGGGCCAGAGCACAATCTGACTGGGTCCATACACCCAAACCAATTCTTCACCCTAAACAGTTCAACCTGAGGCAGCATAAATCCCGCAGACATTGGTACCTGTCTACTAGTTATACAGTGTCACAACTCAGAAAATGAGAATGTACACAATCAGTACTGTGAAGACCACAAAACTTAGAAACACGTCATAACAGTGATATGTGGACTTTATCCATTGTCCTGGTTTTTAAGATAAATAAAAACACGTTTCGGAAACTGGATCTGTTTCCCTCCTCAGGTGAAGGAAAAAGGAAAACACCTATTCACTTGGGTCCCTTAGAAAGAGCTAGCCTCAATCACTGGACAAACCAATGTCACAAAACATGAAGATTATAAACACCTGAAACCAGGCTAAGTCCATGAGAGCTAATAAGAAAAATATCCATGACAAATTGTAGCAAACACTTACAAGCGAGGAACCAGGATAGATAGATCTGTAGAAATTTATGCCACGAAACTAAACTCATAACCAGGTCCATGACCCCACGGCATGGAATAGAAAGAAGAACTAGTAACAAAAACTAATAGTGTTAAACCAGCGTCAACAATGGAGTAAATCATGTCTATCTAATTTAGAACTTAATAGAAATAAACAAAAGCATATATCATACTCGTATCATACAGATCTTCTATGTGAATTGGTGACTTCATTGCTGATAATGGGGATCCAAATGGGAGAAAAGTCCAAACTGGGTTGGCTAATTGGGTTGGCCGAGCATGCCATATGGGCCGCTTCCTTGTATTTCCTATACCTCATGTGGCTTTCAATATCCAAAATCTTAGCTTCATCCCAGCCTACCCTATGTCCCTCTTCATAGGCATGTTGAGCTAGTTTAGATTTTTCTAGAAGACCTTCTTTTAGGTTA